CTCCCCCACCTGTCCCACACCCCTTTCACACACTCCCTGCTGTACCCCTAGCACTGCTCACACGCCACCCCCCTCGTACCACTCCGACGGCTCCAACACATCCACCCCCCTCAGCGGCAGCTGCAGCAGTGGGAGACGGAGGAGGAGGAGGAGCAGGGGACGGCTCACACACCCGGCACCCCCATACTCTCCACCCCCAAACCCTAACACAGGAGCGCGGGCAGCAATGGGGGTGGGGCGCGATCAGAAGCTCGGTAGACGGCGTGCGGCACTGGGGCAGACTGCACGGGCCGCACACGGGCCTGACGCAGGCCCGACGAACCGCGCGTGGGCTGCCCGGGCCGCGCGCGGGCCTGGCGCAGCCCGTACGGGCCGCGCGCGGGCCTGGCGCAGGTCGCGCGGGCCGCGTCGGGCGACGGGGGGTGATGCGCGGGTCCGCGGGGGCTCCGTGACGGGTGACGGGGGGAGACGGGGCAGGAAACTGCCGCGCGCCTCGGGGCGCACGGCAGGCAGAAAACCGCCGCGCGCTTCGTGCGCGCGGCGAGCAGAAAACCGTAAAATTCTAAAAACGCCGCGCCTTGCGAGCGCGCGGCATGCAGAAAACGTCGCGCGCCCGAGGCGCGCGAGAAGCAGAACAACAGTGGAAGCATCGGGTGGGCCCACCCACAGGATCGACCCAGGAGGGTCGACCTGCTCTGATAGCATGTCAGAATACTAGGTAGAAAACAAGAAACAGGAAAGAGGAGGTTCACTAGCAGGCAGTTGAGTACATATAGTAAACCCTAATTTGGGCTGTACTCGCTATAGAGTACCCCACTGCAAGCTAGACAAACATCACATTCTGACACCATTACCTAGTGACCGACTGCGGTTACCGCATTACCCTATGCCCTGCCCTGCGCTGCGCCATCAGCGCGCGCCCTGCCCTGCCCTGCCTTGCGTGACACTGCCCGTGTACGCCCTGCCCCGCGTCGCGCTGCCCCGCGCACGCCCTGCCCTGCCCCGCGTCGCGCTGCCCCGCGCACGCCCTGCCCTACCCTACGTCGCGCTGCTCCGTGCACGCCCTGCCCTGCCCCACATCGCGCTGCCCTGCGCACGCGCTGCCCTGCCCTGCATCCTTCTGCAGCCCGCGCCCTGCTGCCCTGCGCGTCGCGCCCTGCTGCAGCCCGCGCGTCGCGCCCTGCTGCAGCCAGCGCGTTGCACCCTATGGCAGCCCGTGCGTCGCGCTCAGCTGCCCCGCGCGTCGCGCTCTGCTGCAGCCCGCGCGTCGCGCCCTGCTGCCCCGCGCGTCGCGCCCTACGGCAGCCCGCGCATCGTGCTCTGCTGCCCTGCGCATCGTGCTCTGCTGCATCCCGTGCGTCGCGCTCTGCTGCCCCGGGCTTGGCCTTGTGCTTGGGCTTCTCCATTGCCTCCAGCACCTCTGCCACCCCTCTCTTCAGGTCCAGCCATCGTCGTAGCTGCTCCAAGGCGCTCTGATACCACTTGTTATAGTCACAGTAGGCTTCAATGTGCCTAGAACCAAAGATAGAGTGCGCAGTCAGATTTCTGCACAGCGGATTCAAACGTTCATGGCGATCTGGTCACAGATCCAAATGACCTTATTCAACTTGGATCTGGAGCGTCTTAACGTCGCCTACAATAGGCAATTTAGATCGCACGATTTCATCAAGAATTGACGACACAGCGTCAGATTGAACGAACGGCACTATGGCAGCAACATAGTCTTAGAACACACAATTACGAACAACTAGGAAGAGTTGCGAGTTGGGAAGGACTCCCAGCTCCTACAAACCCCAAGAGCCGAGGTACAGTGATGGGGAACAGTGCCACACTGTCCCCAACCAAGAAGGGTCTCGAAACTACCCTTCACAAGGGCCTACACCAACTGAAATGTTACACTACACTTTGTAATGTAACTATCTTCAATATCTTGAGGTGTAGCCTTTTGGCGAGCTTCGAAAACACTTGAAGCTTGCAACCAAGGCTCGGGTTCTTCATCACAAACTCATCCTTGAGTTCTTGATGGGTCTGCTGCACACACCTGCGACACGCTGAACGTTCGACAAGCGACAAAATAGAAACCGCGCACGACAAAATAGAAACCGCGCGGGACACACAAAATGACCGCATTAACATGCGGCTAGCGATAACTCGCTATTGACTTGACACACACACATGACATCAAGACCCATCATTCACACACCATTAAGCATGAAATATATATTTATTTCATGCACTCATACCATTCCATGCACACATGCATGCACGCACACGGACAACAAGCCGAGTGCAAACCATAGGGTTGCACCAACAGTGGTGGAGGTGCTGCTAGGAGTGCTGGAGGTACTGCAGTCTAGCCTCACCGAGCCACTCTGCTGCTCTTACTGCTGCTGCTGCTGCTGCTGCTGTGCCTTCCCTCCGTACTGCCCTCCTAGTCGCGCGCCTCCTTGCTTGCCCACTATGACTTCACTTCGTAGTAGCGGTGGGAGTGGAGACGGGGGTGGTGGCAGCGGTGGGAGTGGTGGCGGCCGTAGTAGCAGTCGCTGTGGAGCTGTTCAGTGGGGAGGTTCTGGCGGTGGCCAGATGCAGCTGCAACGGCGTCCGCACGAGACCATTACGCCCCAGCAGCTTCGTGAGTGGTACACCAGTAGGTGTCGCAGCAGCGGCCGTTGTGGCAGTCGCGATGGAGCTGTTCATTGGAGAGCTTCTGGCGGTGGCCAGATGCAGCTGCAGCGGCGTCCGAGCGAGACCCTTACGCGCCAGCAGCTTTGTGAGTGGTATGCTCAGAGTGGGGGGTGTAGGAGTAGTGCCCGCTGCCAGTACGTCATTCGCACAGGTGATCGGACTGGTCAGACTGCCAGTACACACAGGCTCGCTGCTTCGCCTATCTGAGTGATGCTTGGCGTGCAGTGTTTGGCGACAAGGCTGAGCTTCCCCTCTGGCTAGAGGTACTGCGCAACAAGGTGGATATCTTTGCTCTAGACTATGACACTATCCTTACTGCCATGTATGCTCTGACTGGTAGCCCTGAGGGTGACTGTTACTTGTGTGTGCCACCAGACCCAGGTATACCGACTGCTGCTCTAGGTGCTAGTGAGTCTGCTCTCTCTGGTACTGCGTCTGCTGAGGCCTTGCACACCTTCACACTTGACTCAGGTGCTACTCGTTGCTTCTTTCACACCACTCACTAGACCCGCTGCAGTTTCCCGGTGCTTGCACGTTCCACCACTGTGCTCCCTTGTCCTGCGGTTCCGTCCGGCTCACTATCAGGTCTCCACCTCCCCTCGTTCTCGACAAACTTGGTGAGCAACGCTGCCCTTCAATATGTGGGGGTTGATACCTTCACCCCTGCATGGCAGCGTGTGGCGATCTGCACGTGTGCACGGACGGGCCGTCACCTAGCCTCGTTTACCCGTCGGCCTGGGTCGAGCCTGTACACACTGACTACTGAGTCTCCCCAGGTAGTTGCGTCTGGTCAGGTGTCCACGTCAGGTCAGGCAGCAGCCCCTTGCTCGTGTCGCCACCTCTCACACCAGACTCTCCTTTGGCACCACCGCCTTGGTCACCCCTCCCTGCCACGCCTCCGTGGCATGCACACCCGCCTCCTTGTCTCTGGTCTTCCCAGTTCTCTGTCCTCCCTCCCGCGCTCCCCTTCCCCGCCCTGCATTCCTTGCGTCGAGGGGCGGCAGCGTGCCACCCCTCACTCCTCCTCGTTTCCCCCGACAGAGGCTCCCCTGCAGACTCTCCACATGGACGTGTGGGGCCCCGCCCGCGTCCGTGGACAGGGTGGCGAGCGGTACTTTATGCTAGTTGTTGACGACTACACGCATTACACCATGGTCTTCCCCTTGCGCACCAAGGGTGAGGTCCCTGCT